TGGCCACTTTTTAATGGCACCATTTTTTTTTTTTTTTTTGGTATCGGGGATCAAATTTGGGACCTTGTGCTTGCAAGGCAGGCGCCAGAACCACTGAGCTAAATCCCTGACCCAGTGGTACCATTTTTATCTGAAATAACAAGAGACAGAGAAATATTGTCATTCCCACTTGGGCATTTGGTACACCTTTTTTTTTTTTTAAAAAGATGAAGTGAGCCTTTTACTTCAGGGAAAACTAGTGACAGTATTTGTTGCTAATGATAAAATTTAAGTATTCAAAGGAAAATTAGAATTTTTGAAGACTGTGTGTGTCATTGTAAACTTGATAGCATTCCAATACCTAGACTTTTCTGATAAAAATTGGTGCTAATATTAAAAATATGATTTTTGATGTTGTATAATGAAATGTGTTCATACCTACTTTGGAGGTCAGTATAATTCTGTTAATCACTATTTTCTAAGTGACCAATGTAGGGTGAAAGATCCGTTCATCATGAAAGATCCGTGGATAGATCCATGGATTTTAATGGAAAAAAACCTCAAAAAGCTCACTTTTAATGATGACATATTTCACCCTACAACTAACCTTTAAGAAACTATCCTTATCAAATTTTGGTGTAATATGAAAGGAAAACATCCACTTACCCAAATAGGCTATTAAATTATTCTTCCTTTTCCCAACTACATTATCTGTTTGAGCCCAATTTTCTTCATGTATTTTAACCAAAGCATCAAATTACAATAGATTATACAATGAGAATCCACCTCTTCTGTTAATCCCAATATGAAAAATTTAAAACAAATGCCACTTTTCTCATTAATATTTTTGGAGAATATAGTTATTTGTTCTAAAAAATGTGATATTTATATTAACATATAACTAGAAGCAACAAGTTTATTATTATTTTAGAATAAATTGATTTCTGTTTTAGTTTTTTTGAGATAGGGTCTCACTATATAGTTCAGGCTGGTCTCTACTCACTATGTAGCCCAGGCTAGCCTCAGATTTGCTGTAATTCTCCTGCCCCATCCTCCCAACTGCTGAAATTATAGGCATGTGCCGCCACACCTAGAAATTTTGATTTTTAATAATTGCTAATTGTAAATAGGTATAACCTACATATAAAAACTAACTGACTTTCAATAATTTATGAGACTATAAAGGGCAGCAGAGACTAAAAAGTTTTAGAACTGCTGATTTAGAATCTATTTGGGATGAGAGCAGCTCTCAAAGTTAAGGCAGGTGACTCAGGATTATAGTTAGCAGGAAAGAAGGTTATGGTAGTTGAGATCAGCTGTTAGCTCAGTTCACTTAGTAGGATTTGTTTATATTTTTTCAGTACTGTGTGAGTTACTTCCAGATACCTGGTATGTAGACTACCTGTGTAAATGGAGTGCAGAACTGTAATTTATTAGTGTTATTGAAAGGACACAGTTACCTTAACTGTAAAATAGAGGTAAATATCTATTTCACAGGCTTTTTAGATAATTATGTGAAAAAAACACATATGAAGCCATCTTGTGACTCAGGTTAGTTCCATGACGCCAGTGCAATAGTTATTAGCACCAGCCAAAAGTATTTGTTGAATGAAAGAATAAAGAGTAAAAACAAAACTTTTACTAAACTCCAAAACCATTCCTATTTTCAACACAATACAGATGAACCTAAATTAAAAGAATTAGATTCTCAACTTCAAGATGCTATTCATAAGATGAACAGACTTGATAAAATATTGGCAAAGAAACAGTACAGAGAAAAAGAAGTTAAGAAGCAAGGTCTAGAAAAGCGAATAAAGCTCTGGGAAGAACTTAAGGTGAGAACTATATAACCTTGTGCTAATGTGCAATAGTTGCTCTAAGATGAGTAAGAAAAGCATGCACTGTGGTAGTATCAATGTGGTTTGCCTTTATTGATTTATTTTGTAGAGCTGATGACAGTAATCTCTGTGTGTGTGTGTGCGTGCATATGCGTGCACAGGGGTTATATTTTTCATAACTTGGTCTGCAGCATTCCAGATTTGGGCACTGCCTTAGTGTGTTCATTCTCCCGTGGACAGGCCAGGTAGATCTCTGTTGTTAGTGTTGGGCAGAGGCGTCTTCACCTCTGGCATAGGAAGAAATGTTGCAGTTACTCTCATCAAACCTCTGCTTTCTCTTCAGTAAGTTTGCAGTTTGGGAATAAATACATAAATACATAAGAATTCATCAAATACATAAGAATTCATCTCCCCTGGTTAGCATTATTATTTGAGTAACCTTTGTTATCAACAAGCTGGGGAGTTCACTGTTCCACATGATGGTCAGGATCTCTTTAGGAAGATGTGAAATGCTTGAGATCTGGAACGTGTTGTTTACTTCTTTCTGTCTCAAGGAATTTCTAGTGCTTGATTAACTTTCCTTGGCCTTTGTGGATCTCTTATTCTCTGCAGTATTGAGCAGGTGAGGTTGACTAGATGTTGGCCTTGACTTGATGTAGAGCCATTGACTCATTTGGATTTTGCCTCTCAAATCCGAGCCCTTGCTGCACATGGTGGCACATGCCTGTAATCCCCGCATTCGGGAGACTGAGGCAGGAGGATTGCTTTGAGTTCAAGGCCAGTCTGGCCTACATAGTGAGTTCAAGGCCAGAATGGACTATAAAGTTGAGACTCTGTCTCTAAAAAAAAAGAAAAAAAAATCAGAGCATCTGTAAAGCAAGGAACCTTGCAATAACAGATTGTTTTTTTTTTGTTGTTGTGGTTGTTTTTTGCTAAGAGTCATCCTTAATCATTGACTAACTTCAAAGGAGGTTCCTAGGAAGACCACTGGGACAGAAAGAGTACAACAGCCAGAATACAGTGTTTTAAACTAGAGAAATGAGGCCTGCAATTTTAGCAGAAAAAGTTAGCTTATCACTTTTTCCTATTGAAGCTCAAAGCAAGTTTTTACTTCCTTCGACCACAAGAGTTATAAATGGAAACATAATAAAATGCAGTACTAAATGTGAAATGTCTGAAATTTCAATTTGATGATGTACCTTTAGGTTATTAGTTATAAAAATATCTAACAGATACTTTAAGCAAGCTAATTAACATATAGTGATAGACATGCTTCAACTCTATTTGGAAACTTTATAGAAACAGAAAATACTAACAAGTTTCCTACTTGAAGGAATATAAATAACTTGAGCCTTCTCATTTGTATGTACATGATTGGAAACTAATTTGGAATTTAAAAAATCAAAGAATATATTTGCCTTCTTTTGCCATGTTTAAACTTTAATTTTTCTTTCATTAGTCTGCAAAAAATAGTGAAGCTTTGCAAAGTAATGAAGAGATGGAAAATACAAAAAAATTTTTAACTTTGACTGCTGCATCTGAACAAACTGTTGGTAAGTAGATGGAGATGCCATTCATCGTTTTTTAAAATTTCAAAATCATAACATATTTGGATTAAAGTTAAATCCCTAGTTCAAAATTCCTCTTTTTCTTGGTAAGTCTGACCCTTCTTTAGGGGAAATAACTGATCACATCACGTAGGATTATATGGACAATGTTTCATTTTCTTTAAGGGTTTGTATCTGTTTAAGAGTAACCAGGACAGGGATGGGGATTTAGCTCAGTGGTTCAATTGCCTGCCTTGGAAGCGAAAGGCCCCGAGTTCGATCCCCGGTACCAAAAAAAAAAAAAAAAAAGAGAGTAACCAGGACAAGGCAGGGAAACATTGAAAAACAGGCCCAGTATGTCTTCACACTACCTCTAGAGGATATCTGATGCTGCCAATCCTCTAACTCCCCAGAATTCTCTTGCCAGGTGTCACTCTGGCCTGTGCAACCCAGGTACTGATTTTCCCTATTTTTTGTTCTCTCACAATCCTGCTTTTGGAGACCATCCAGTTGATTCTGCACATAGAGTTCTACTTTCCCCCCATGTATATGTGTATTTGAGAGATTTTTCTTTTTAAACAGAAATATATGGAGTTGTGTAAACTTTAACCTACTTATACAAGTGGAAGCACTGGTATGTTTGGCAGGAGAGCCTTATATCCTTTAACCTGCATCCCCTAGGCAATTGTCCAGCTCTACTCAAAGCAGGGAACACTGGGATCCTTTTGTTCTTTATACAACGATGTCTAACAATTTAAAACCCCAAGAACTTGATTCAGGTTACTGAAACAGTTTAGCATGGAGGTTTAGTATGAATAATATGACTTAGAGGTTTTCCCTTTCTGGACCCAGATTTGAGCATTCAGAAACTGCTAGGGAAGTGTCGGTGAACATTTTAAAGCTTTTAGTGATACAAAGAGCCTGCTGTGGCCCGTGTGCCATAGGTTCTCCACCACTCTGGTGGAGTTTGGGAGACCTGGGTTTGCAGTGCACCGAGCATTTTCTTTTGAAGAAGGCGAGTGTTCCTTTGAATTGCCTCTTTTATAATTAAGGACTTTAAAACAATGAACCTTTTCAGGTCTCCAGTAGGTAGATCCATAGCTAGAGTGACCTTATTGAAATTTACCTTGCCGTGTATGTGTCCTGATTGAAACACCAATAATTACTAGCTTGCCTATATTAAAATAATAGATCATTTACTTTCTGCTTCTTTTATTTTGGATAAACAACGGGTGCTTTTTTTTTTGGTACTGGGGATCTAACTCAGGACCTTGTGCTTGAAAGGCAGGCGCCGGAACCACTGAGCTAAATCCGCGGCCCTGTTTCTTTTATTTTGTTACAGAAGTAACATATGGGTAATCTATCTTACAAATATTGGTAAACAAAAAGAAAAACATTACTGTCACTTAAATTCTCAACACGCAGAGACAATCACTATTAATACTGTGGTTTAATCTTTAACCTTTGAAACTTTTAGTATAAATATACATATATATTTTAAAGAATAAAAATGGGATAAAATTAGACACATGGTTTTGTAACCTTTAAAAAAATAATTTGTATCTCATGAGCCCCTTTAGCTGTCAATAAGAATTAATCTGTGTGTTAGCTCATTTCCAAGATGGTGGCCACCAGTTCCTCCCTCCTAGGTACTCTCATTCTGCTCCTCATTAGAGGATAAAATGTATTTCTTCCTTCTTTGTCATTCTGCGATAACTGACTGATGTATAACAGCTAAAACAATACCATGCCACTTCTTCTCCTAGTCTTTAAGAATGACGTTTTCTCCTCCCCTCCTTAGAATGTTCATGCAGAGGAAAGCCAGCCATTATGTAAGAAGTGAGACTGCCGGAAGGCTGGTGTGAGAAAGCCTAAGCAGATCATATTCAAAGACTATGCAGACAAAAAAATGATACTGGCCAGTTCCAGGCTATAGTGATTTTAGTAGTTTCTTGCTCAAATTCATGTCTACCTAGAACCTTAGAATGTGACCTAATTTGGAAATAGGGTCTTTACAGATGTAATTAGTTGAGATGAGGTCATGATGGGGTAGGGTGAAATTGAAGTCCAGGGACTGGTATCCTTCTAAGAAGAGGACACAGAGAGAGGTAGAGACACGGAGGCACTGGAAAGAGGCCTTGTGAAGGTAGAGGCAGTTGTTGGAGTGACACAGCTACCAGCCTTGGCATTCCTGCCAGGGCTTGCTGGGAGCCACACAAGGAAGGACTCAGAGGAAATACTCTGGTGATGCCTCGATTTCAGTTACTTAGCTTCTGAAATTGTGAGAGAACACATTTTTGTTGTTTTCAGCTACTCAGTCTGTGGTAATTTGTTACAACGGGCCCAGGAAACCAATTCTTTCATTGTTAAAAATAATGAGAAACATTTCTTCCAACTTATTTTTTCTGGAGTTTTGTGATATTTCTTGGTCTATAGAAGTTTACATTACTTAATGAGTTAAATTAGTCATTTCTTTTATATAACCATTCATTGATGCTTTGTTTAAATAGATTCCAGAGCTGGGGTGTAGCCTAGTAGTAAGGCACTTCCCTTGCATGTGTGAAGCCCTGGGTTCAGTCCCCAGTAGTGCAAGGAAAAAATGTCTATTCCATATAAATTTTCTATAAAAATATGCTTATATTTTCCTTTAGTATGCTTGTTTATAAATTTAAGTGTTAATATACTAAAATGTATTTTGGTATCAGTGTGAGGTAGAGTTGATTCAGCTTCTCCCCTCTTTTGCTGGCCAGTTATCACATCTTTTACTGGATAACCATCATTTCCCCACTTATTTAAAAAGCTAACCTTATCAGGCACTGATTGATCCTATTTCCAAATTTTCTATTAGTGTCACTCTAATTTTATTAGTGTAGATTTGTAATGCATTTTATTAGGGTGTTGTCGATTTTAAAAAAGTTTTTTGGAATAACATGTTTTTCTTGAACCTATTATTTCTCTCAGTTTAGTGATTACAACATTATGTTAAGACTGCAAAGCATCTCTAACTCTATAGTTAATTAGTAGTTTTTTTAGTAAAGTGTCTAAAGATGAGTATTAAGATTGTCTACAGAAGTGTAACTTATGTTTTCTTTCATTTCTGTCATAAATTTTCCGTCTTCATAGAAGTGGCTCTACACCTGTTATCCCAAGCAAAGAACATGGGTAGAGTCTGGACTGTACTCTGGATGTTACAGTATTTCTGCAGTCATGGTTTAGAAAGCATGAGCTACATCCTGATGTCTCTAATGAATGCAGTATTTCTCAAAGGCCACCATGCCTACTGTTGCCCACTCTGGAGCAAGCAATGTGAGACAGGCTTCCCTGGAAAAGGACTGATCTGTGGTGGCCTTCTAACATTAACTTTCTCAGTTTAGAGTTCACTACCAAGTGAACTTTTGGCCCTAGAGGTCAAGGTATTCGTTTTCAGTTGCCTTTTTTTTTTCCAGAATCAAAGCAAAACTATCAAATACATCTAATTTTAAAATCTTGTGACATATATATCTGGCTGATAGCCATAGAGCTCACAGATGTCTCTCTAGGCTCACATGAGTGCTGTAGACACTTCAGTAATGTCAGATTAGTATCAGTGTTCCAACGTGGACCTCAGGTGGACTTGAGTCAAAAGCTGTAGCTAAAGGAAGCTTGAAAGCAGAGAAGATCATTGCTTTAAATATTATCATGTTAAAGTTTCAATTTTTTAGATTTTGAATTCTTAGTTATGAATTATTGGCAGTGTGTGTAAAAGGAAATGGGAATAAAAGAAACTGTTAGGTGAATCAAGTGTCTCACCCTTCACTCTTGCCCCTGGCTGTCCTGATTAGTTCATACTTGACCAGGACACCAAAATGAGCAGTTATTATATTTTTGACTTCTTTAGATTTAATTAGTCTTTTTCTAATGACTGTTCTATTACAGAAAAGTGAATTCCTTAATGAAATTTCCTGCTGGCTCTTTACATCATAAGGATGTATTCAACAGTATTGAAAATCTATGGACATATATTTGATTATTTAAACATTTGAAAATATCAAGAAAGGCACTCATATTTATTTTAGCCTACATTATCAACCTAATTAAATTGAAAAAACCAGTTTATATAATTACTATCTTTTTCTAAAAGAGGAAAAATTAGAATGATTAGCTTAAGAATAATATCAGTATTTTTACTGCAGGCCTGAAAGAAATGAGTAGAAATGCACAAAGCCAGTTTGACTACAAAGCACTGATTTTTGAAAGTCCCATATTCCTATTCCAACATAGCTACATATTGTAGAATGCTTATATCTGCTCCATTTGTGATGAATTTTCTGATCACTTATTGAACTTTAGCTCCTTAAAATATAAAAACTTAAAAATCTATTTTGAGGCCAGGGATTTAGCTCAGTAGTTCTGCCGCCTGCCTCGCAAGTGCAAGGTCCTGAGTTTGATCCCCGTTACACACACAAAAAAATCTATTTTGATCAAACTTACAGCTATCAACTTTTGAGTGAAATGTTTGTTAGGAAAAGGGCAGTGTGTAAAGCACTTGGAGATTGTCCGGTAGGTGGCAGCATCTAGTTATAGTAGGTAAAGGGCAAAGCTCTTGGAGTCAGACCTAGTGTCTACCTACAAACAGGTTAACACCTACTTTCTACTTTTCTTTTCACTTTTCCCCTTCAAACAAAGGAAAAAAATCCTTAGGAGGAGCATTTTCCTTTGTCTACTCTGATCATTTTTCCTTAACCTTTTGTTTGAGAGTTAACATTAAGAACTTGGGCTTGTGTTGGCAGAATGGCAATTTCCAGCCTGCTTTCCAGGCGCCCAAACACAAAATTTGTCTCAATTCCCATCTAATATCACAAATATCAGAGTTTACTTGTTGTTGGATTGTGTATTTAGTTTTATTTATAGGGGCTAAACACAAATGACGCCTTGACTCCAAAACAAAGATGAAATCTACATTATAATCCATACATAATAATCTCCATCTTAATTACTGAGATTTTTTTTTTTTATGCTGGACATTG